GAATACATTTGGGAAAAAGTTGTGAAATGGATGTCATTTTCTGGACCCTTCTCCTCCTCTGTTTTCCAGCTGTCCTTCAGCATTGGGGGGGTTTTGTCCAAAGGACTATGCAGATCTGCTGTTTTAAATTCAGTTAAGAGGTACAAATAGACCCCAGATTCACAAAGGTAGAGAGATCCTTAGTAAGTCCTCGGGAGAAGGAAGAAAAAGAAAAAAAAGAATGAGGAAGTGGAAGAGAGAAGGAAAAGGGGAAGGGGAAGAGGAAGAAGGTTGTTAATAGTTAATTTTACATCAAGGGTTTACTTTAAGATGAAGTGTTGTACTTTATATGATACATTCAACATTGTACAGGACACATTATTTGTAGTGGCCTGCCTACCCACCCACCCACCTACCTACCTACTTATCTACTTATTTACCTTCCAAACATGTGTAAATTGATTATTCATTTGCTATGTCATACCAGATCTTCTCTACGTAATCTTTCGATTAAACTTTTTTTTTAAAGATCCATCCCCTTTCCTTGTGTAATCCTTATTGCCAGCCTGGTTATGAAAAGAAAAAAAAAGAAGGAAATAAATATTGCTGCTATGATTGCGTTCAGTGTCCAGAAGGGAAGATTTCCAATGAAAGAGGTAAATGACACAGTAAAGCAAATCTTCGAATTTAATTCTTCTTCTTCTTATCTCTTTTCTCCTGCATGCTTAATAAGAATTGGAAGGATATTCAACATGGCAATTGTTGAGAAGTGTTGTGCCAATATAACTGTTGGGCCACTTAATTTATATAGGAATCTATCCTTGCTTAATATATTATCATCATTATGACTTTGTAGGACTTCATATTTTAAGGAAGAAAGCTCCTTTGGAATTCATGGATGCATGAACTTAGTACCCATGTGCAACTTCTTAATTCAAACACAACTTTTCCTGGCAACATCTATGAACAAGGGCAAAATGATTCAGTGTTTAAAGACACTGAGCTTGTCATCTAGAAAGCTGATAGCCTGGATTAGAAACCTGAGCACCATGCAACAGATCCCCTGTTACCTGTCCCAGCTCTTGGTCACATAGCAGTTCAAAAGCATGCAAATGTGAACAGATAAATAGGTACCACTTTGGTGGGAAACTAAGAACATTCCATGGACATCAGCATATAGCTACTCTGCCCATGTGACCATTGAAATGTCTTTAGATAACGCTAGGTCTTTCAACTAAGAAATGGAAATGAGTACCATCCTCGAGATGCAGATGTGACTGGACAGGGGAAACCTTTACTTTTATCTATCAACAATCATGTCACCCAGGAGATGATGATTTAGAGCAGGGTTGTCAAACACAAGACCCACGGGCAAGATCTGGTCTGTGATGTTGTTGGATTTGGCCTGCAGGGCCATCCTGGAAAATGTAAGGGGCTGTCCCATGTCACTTTGGCCAAATCTACCCAATGTAAAGAGGAAACATGCCAGCAGTTTGGGGAATAGTGTCAGGCTGACTATGCCTACCCAATCAGCCATGCCCACCCAATTAGACACACCCACCCAGCTCCTTGAGGTCAACCACAGCCCTGACATGGCCCTCAATGAAATTGAGTTTGACACCTTGATTTAGAGAGTTGCAGAAAGGGCTAACTGAAAGGACATATCTTCCCTTCAAACTTGGAGCTATACACAGTAGCACCTTTTCCCCTCCAATCCATTATTCCTTGATGGTGTATGTGTTCAAGGGAAATAATGTACATGAAGCAGAATTGTGCTAACGATGGGAAAGCAAAATATTGAATTCCCAAATATCCAAATGTTCCTTTGCACTACTGATGCTTTAGAAAGTGTGGAATACCTTCTCTAATGAGGGGTGGCAGTGGCTCACATGATAAGACAGTGGGCCTGTGCATTGCAGAGGTCAGCAGCTCAGGGGTTCAATTCCTGTGAGCGAAGAAACCATGGTAGGGCAAGAAAGGAGCCTTCTCCGATTGCCGACTGGCATTCAGGTGTCCCATGGGTAAAGATAACACTGCCTGAAAAAAATCCTTTCACAGAGGCAGACAACCACCTCGGTGATTCTTGGCTAAAACATGCCATACACGAAATAAGCCTCTTATAATTTTAAAACAGAATAACACTAAACTTCAGAATGTTGGTAGCACTACAGAAGAACATTTGTGTAGGTTTTGTGCTTTAAACAAATTTAGAACACATTGTATTTTTAAACTAGTATAAATAATTTAAATAATAAATATACCAATCTTTCCAGGATAGCGGACAATTGGACAATAATGGGTATTGCTTCACAAAGTTCATTTCTCTTGTGGAATCATGAGTGGTGGGCCTCTTTTTAAAAGATTGACATGACAACTGAGTGATTTCACATAAAAATCAACAGTCTTTATCTGTTTTCCCACATTCAGATACAGAAGATTGCTTCAAATGTCCATCTGATCAGTATCCAAGCCAGAGACAAGATGAATGTTTCCCCAAAATTGTAGTTTTTTTGTCTTATGAAGAACCTTTGGGCATCTCCTTAGTCACAAGTGCCATCTTCTTCTTCTCAGTCACAATTTTGGTATTAAAAATATTCCACCTGCACAAAGATAGTCCCATAGTCAAAGCCAATAATCGGGACCTCAGCTATGCTCTCCTGATCTCTCTTTTGCTCTGCTTCCTTTCACCTTTTCTATTTATTGGTAAGCCTGCAGTGATGACCTGCTTTCTTCGGCAACCAGCCTTCGGTATCATCTTCTCACTGGCTGTTTCCTGTGTGTTAGCTAAAACCATCACTGTGGTGGTAGCTTTCATGGCCACCAAGCCAGGATCCAGTATGAGGAAGTGGATGGGAAAGAGGCTTACATATTTTATTGTCCTTTCCAGCTCTTTAATCCCAGTAGGCATGTGTGCTATATGGCTAACAATCTCTCCCCCATTCCCCAATTTGGACATGGACACGCTGACCACTGAGATAGTAGCAGAGTGTAAGGAAGGTTCTGTCGCTATGTTTTATCTTGTCTTAGGCTACATGGGACTTCTGTCCATCGTTAGTTTCAGTGTTGCTTTTCTAGCTAGGAAGTTGCCTGATAATTTCAACGAAGCCAAATTCATCACCTTCAGCATGCTGGTATTTACCAGTGTTTGGTTGTCCTTTGTTCCAACCTATCTGAGCACCAAGGGAAAATATATGGTAGCTGTGGAGATCTTTTCCATCTTGGCCTCAAGTGCTGGGCTTTTGGGATGCATATTTTTCCCTAAATGTTTCATAATTGTGCTGAGGCCTGAACTGAACAACAAGGATCACCTCATGAGAAGAAAGCAAATGCAAAAATAATACACAATGGATACCACTTTTGGGACAGATACAATGGACTTTATGTATCTGCTGATGAAATAAAACATTCTGTCTTAATTTATTTTTCAATGTATTGTTCATCCCAACCCTCACCAAAAAGTTACACTGAAGGTGCTGAAAAGGCATGTAAATTAAAGATGAAGAATACAGATACCATAAAGATAAATAAGGAAGTAAGACATGGCTGCCCCCTAGCTCCTCTATTGTATATATTGGCAGAAGAGACTCTCTTAGTACAAATTAGGCAAAAACAAGAAATTAGAGGACTAAAAATTAAAAAAGAGGAATATAAACTCCAGGCATTGGCCAATGATATGGCGTTTATATTAGAAAAACCCTTAGAAGCAAGCCCTATACTACTAAGAGAAATAGAAGAATACAGAAAGGTGGAGGGGTTAAAAATTAACAAGGAAAAAACAAAAGTGTTAACAAAAACTTTACAAAGGAGCAGAAGGAAGAACTCGCAAATAAATTAGATATGCAGGTGGTAAATAAAGTAAAATACCTAGGGGTCTAGTTGACTGCTAGATGTTCATTGATTTAAAAGGATAACTATGATAAGTTAATAATGCAAATAGTTAAAGATTTAGATAATTGGGCCAAACTGCAGTTATCGCTATTGGGCGTATTTCAATAATAAAAATGAATATTTTGCCAAAATTGTTATTCTTGTTTCCGACAGTGCCAATCAAGTTGGAAAAGAATTTTTTCGTAGAATTAAACAAACGTGTACCTAAATTTATATGGCAGAGGAAAAAACCCAGAGTGAAATATAAATTATTACAAGATGCCAAGAAAAAAGGAGGATTTGGCCTTCCAGATTTTGAATTATATTATGATGCTGCTATAGTAAACTGGCTTAAGGATTGGGTTAAATTAGAAAATAGAAGGTTATTAGTATTAGAATGTTTTGATCTCCAACTTGGCTGGCACGCCTTCATGTGGGATGGAAGATCTAAACAACATTCATATTTTCAAAGGCACCATGTAAGAAATGTGTTGTTCAATATCTGGGGAAAGATTAAAAAATACCACTACCCAAAGGTTCCATTGTGGCTATCTACATTGGAAGCAGTCACACATCCAAATGTATTGGATTATGAAAATATAGTCAGGTATAAAGATTTATTATATGACACTGGAGAGCTTAAAAATAGGAACCAAATACAAATTCAAGGAAAGGAGATAGCACGGTGGCTCTTTGCACAAATACAAACTCATTATAAAAAAGATAGAGAACAATTTCGCTTTAATATGACCCCACAAGAATTAGATAAAATATGGCTAGGAGAGGAAAAGAAAACAATTAGTAAATCATATAAATAACTTTTGGACTACATATTAAAAGAAGAAACAGTCACAATACCTATGATAATTTGGGCTAAAAACATGGGTGATAGTATTAAATTAGATAAGTCGGAACACATCTGGCAAACAAATTACAAATTAACCATGTCTGTCTTGTATAAAAAAAACTTGTATAAAATGGTTCATCTCTGGCACCTACTCCTGCGAGACTGGCTAAGATGTTCCCCAACCTACCACCCAACTGTTGGAAAACTAACTACGCACAAGGAACATATTTTCACATATGGTGGACTTGCCCACGTGCTCAGAAATTTTGGAGAAATATGAGAAAACGGATTTTAAATATAACAAAACAAAATTTAAAACTTCAACCCCAAACTTTTCTGCTTAAGTATGATAGGTTTAAACATGGAGAAAAAATATCAATATTTAATTTTGCAAATCATCACTATGGCCAGAATAACCTTCGCACAAAACTGGAAACTGTCTTTCATTCCTTCAGAGGATAAGGTAATTAAAAAAATACATGAATGCGGTGAGATGGATAGCCTAACCAAAGTGTTAAAAAATAAACAAGATAGTGACTATTATGAAATATGGAACATTTGGTTTGAGTAGTTAAAGAAAAGGTAATATTTGATATTTGGATAAGTTATGGAAATGAGAGAAGACATGCCTTTAATCATAAACTATATAGAGAAATTAAAATATTAAAAGAATGAAGGAGAATCTTATCTGCTCTCATCAGGCTTCTGTATAGTGTTCATCTGTGAGTCACACTTCCACAGCGGTTTCTGATTTAAATTTTGGGCTAGCCTACTGCTGTGCCAGAATGGTTTTTTCTTCATCCTGATTGGTTGGGAGTCTTGGTCTGTGTTTATTGGTCTTGGAGTTTGCTGTGTTCTACTTGATTGGTATTTCTAATATCTTCTGTCTCTTTTGTGGCTTTTTTGTGTGTGTCTTGATTGGCTGGAAACATTGTATTCCTGTATTGGAGGCTTTTAGGGCAGCTTGGCTCTGAATAAATGGACGGCTATCATTTGTTAGGAAGCTAGGGTTCATCTGGGTGCCTGGTTAGGTTGTGTTTGAGCTGGAGGTATCGGGGGGGGGGGGGATCTGATTGTGCCCAGGTGTTTGCCTGGCTAGTGGTGTGGAGATTTTTTTGTTTGTGAGGGTAGGTTTCCAAATGATTGACAGTCTGGTGGAATCATCTCTTCTATTCATGCTTTCAGGTCTTTTTTCAATCTCTATGGCTTCTCTAATAATTCTGTGGCTGAAGTTTTCTATAGTGGCTAGGGTTTTGGTGCCATGGAAGTTGATGCTATGACCTGTGGCTTTCAAGTGTGTTCCAGCTTTTTTACTGCATTTTCATCCAGACGGGTATTAATTCTTCTATTCGTCTGTCCAATGTATGTGGCCGGGCATAATGCACAGGGGACTTCATATATGCCTTGGTTTTCCAGGTCAATTTTATCTTTGGGGTTTCTAAGGATGGCTGGTTTTCTGTCTGTTTTGAAGGCAGTCTTGATGTAATGCCTATTGTAGTATCTTACTAATTTTGTCTGTAGTACCTCTTATGTAGGGCAGGACAGCTGTTCCATAGGTCTGTTCATCTTCTAGGTCTCCATTATGTCTCAGTGTGTTTTTGCGGATCAAGCCAGGGATTTTGCTTTTGTGGAAGCCGTTGGCTGTCAGTACTTTAGTCAGGGTGCATAGTTCAGTCTTTATGTGTGTCTTGTCTGCCAGCCGTTTGGTTCTAGCAATTAGTGTTTTTTATCTTTGCTGGGTGGTGGTGGGATTGGGTGTTGAGGTAACAGTTGGTGTGTGTTTTCTTCTGGTATATGGTGTGTCCTAGTGTGCCATCTGTTTTTTTGGGGGGGGGATTAGTACATCTAGGAATGATAGTTGTTTGTTTGTTTCCATTTCTGTGATGAACATGATTTTGGGGTGTGTGCTGTTTAGGTGTGTTAGGAAAATGTTTAGGTTTTCTTTTCTATGGGGACAAATCGCAAATGTGTCATTGATGTATCTTAACCATATTTTGGGTTTGTGAGTGGCATTAGCCAGGGCTCTGGATTCGAATTCTTCCATGAACAGGTTTGCAATGACGGGTGACAGTGGTGATCCCATAGGGACTCCTTCAATTTGCTTGTATCTTTATCCTTTGTATATGAAATATGTGTTGGTTAAGCAGTGTTCTGTTAGTTCCATGAGATGTTTAGCTGGTTGGTACTCATTTTTGATGATTTCAGGAGTTTCTTTTATCGGGACTTGAGTGAATAGTGAAACCACTTGTCAGTTTTGACGAGGCAAACACCTGGGCCCAAAAAGATGACCCCTGATACGTCCAGCTCAAACACACCCCAACCAGGAACCCAGATGAAACCTAGCTCCCTAAAAAATGATAGCCGTCCATTTACTCGGAGCCAAGTTGCACTAAAAGGCTCCAATACAGGAACACAATGTTTCCAGCCAATCAAGACACACACAAAAAGCCACAAAACAGACAGAAGATATTAGAAACACCAATCAAGCAAAACACAGAAAACTCCAAGACCAATAAACACAAACCAAGACTCCCAACCAATCAGGATGAAGAAAAAACCATTCTGGCACAGCAGTAGGCTAGCCCCAAATTTAAAACTGAAACACCTGTAATAGTCTGATTCACAGACGAACACAATACAGAAGCCTGATGATGGCAGATGAGATTCTGCTGAAACGTTGCTACAACTTTAAAAGCACAACTATAATGACGTGGGAAAATACCTGAACGAAGCTGAATAACAAAAATGTAAGTACCCGCGAGAACTTAAGAAAACAAATATCTGACCTCTACGGGAGGAAATAAACAGCCAGACCAAAACCTATGAGAATCTAGAAGTTAAAAGAGCAGGAATACTATGTGACTTCAAATTCCTACACAGCTGCACAGGCAACAATGCAACACCAACCTGCTTCAAATTAACATTTCATCACAGCACAGCAGCTACTAAATGTATCCTGAAAGAAACTGAAATGGCTCTACTCAGGAACGAGCTCCACAGAAAAAGATTCCAATTGGATCAGTTAAACAAATATTTGCTAGCACTACACCTGGAACTGAGCAGCAAGATCCATACTCTACTTTGGGACAAGATAAAACAACTTACAACTTGGAGAGATGAAACTGAAACCACTTACAAAAATGACAAACTCTTGAAGAAACTAAAGAAATTAGAACATGACAAGAAAGCCCCCAACAACTCACAACAACTCCTGAAACTGTTGGGTATATGGATTGGGTGTTGGGATAGGTTTGGGTGACTAAATATATAAACCTAGGTTTAAGTGTTTGTAGCTTTAAGCACCAAACTGCAATGTAATTAGATAATTAAGGGTGCGGTTGCAAGCAGCAATAAAAGGCAGTGAGAGTAACATAACACTACTCCTGGTTACTGGTCTGCTCGCTGATATCCTGTGCATACTCAGCATTGTCTTCGAGAGAAAGGTATCGGGAGGAGAAGATGTACAAGCAGATAAAGACATTGTACTGACTAGTTAATGGACTAGGTTACTGGATGGATATATTGGATAATGACATATGGACTGATTGACATTGCTTAAACTCTGTGTGAATTAAATAACTATTTAAAACTACAAACAGTGTTTTTGTCTCCAGTGTGTGTATA